TAGTTACCAGGAGGCAGTTTGGCTCTTCTGGTCATTATGTATATATGGTAAGCAGCAATTACGAAAGCAAGCAGGTAGAGCAACATGATTCTCCTTCTGTAGACTGATTGAATGCTCGGGGAAAAGGTATTTATACTTTTCCAACTCCTAGTGTGAGATAACAAAAAACCAGACCCTTCACCGGTTTAATAGGAGAACCTCTAGAATCGATAAGATATCTAGTTTGTGGAAAAGTGTACCTTCAACTGTATTCTCTGGTAAGTGTTATCTGTTATTATGATAAGGTTGAGTATGAAATCATTGACGGTTGAAAGTGTCATCCTCTGACTGTTGTAATCATTCTCAGAGACCCATGGTTTCGAGTCTCTCGATTAATCTCAAGTCGAATCAGGACAGCATACTACGACTGAGAAGATCATAGACATTATATATAATCAATAATAAAACTAGAGCTATATAGAATCTTTCCTAATGTTAAAAGAATGTATCTTCGAAGTAAGGAATGGTTGACCCAATGACAATTGATCTCATGCACCTGTGCTCTAATCATAACTGATATACGTGATCTCTCGTAGGTTACTGTAATTGCACACAGCTTTTCGGTCACGCCCACATGTTTTCGAAATTAATTTGATTATGCTAATTTTTATTTATTTTTATTTATTATTTGTTTTATTTATTTCTTTATTCAGTTTGTTGGTAGATACGACGACGCCGAATTTGATTTTCCCTCAGAAGGATATCAGTTGATGTGACGAGGATTCTGGATTATCCGACAGGTGTGACGTCAATGGTTGTGTCTAGTGGGGAAGACGTTTGGTAGGAGTCTCGACAAGGTAGCCAGGGTTCTTACATTGTCATTTCAGATGTTTTTCGCTGTTTCAGAGTAACACCTAGCTAGTGACCATCATGAAGTCAAAGAGAGAGAGAGAGGAAGATAGGAAGTAGAAGATTGGAAATGCTTCTTGTCTCACCGACAGTACATTGTCTGGAACTACATTCTGAAATAAATCCAAAAAGTTGTATGTTGGAGGTATGTCTTTCCATTCTCTGTCTTTTCTCACTTATAGTACTTCCAGCAACTCATTTTCGAAGTCTCAGGTTGTTCAGAATAATCAGGAAGCAAGGTTGTGTTGCCACAGCCCATTATAATTTTACAGTGAGTCGGATAGTCCGTTAGTTTGTTAATGCTAAGTTTTATTTTGTTCAGCCCATGCATAGGTTACTCTCACTACGGCGATTTCGGATTCCTCAACAGGTGGGACGACCATGGATGTGCCTAGTGAGGAAGAAGTTCGGTATGAATCTCGACAAGGTAGCCAGGGTTCTTACATTATCATTTCAGATGTTTCCCGCTGTCTCAGAGTAACACCTAGCTAGTGACCATCATGAAGTCAAAGAGAGAGAGGAAGATAGGAAGTAGAAAATTGGAATTGCTTCTTGTCTCACCGACAGTACATTGTCTGGAACGATATTCTGAAATAAATCCAAAAAGTTGTATGTTGGAGGTATGTCTTTCCATTCTCTGTC